ACACCTGATGACGTATGAGGTTTTTCGTTTCGTCTGTTGCTTCTGTTTGGCGCAGAATTGATTCCGCAGCAGCAACCATGTTGGCAGGTCTGGCATCAGCTGTGTTGAATGAAGCTTCATGCCTTAACAACTGCATTTGTTCTTCCGTCAGCTTCTTGGATGACAGTAGTTGGCTTGACCACAGTCAGTACGGTAAATGACACCGGATTTTTGGTTAACGGGTACAGCATCCTTGGGCCGCATAAGTTGCCTGTGGATTGTTGCTTCCGGCCTGTGATCAACGCCAATCCCAAATTCGCTGACCAGTCGAGCGAATTTTTCAGAAACGCCAGCAATATAGGGTATTGCTCGCCAGCGTGTCGGTTCTGGCTGTCCCGTTGAGTTTTCTTCGTTTGGCTCCTCGCCTGCATTTTTCGACGAAGGCGTCAGGATATGTTTGTCTCCTCGCCTGCATTTTTCGATAAATGTGCAAAGATGGCCATTCACCGTGAAAAGTTTCCGCAGATACTGGGCCTCGGCCTTCTTGTCGGCTGGTTCGCTGCAGTGGATTTCTACACGGCGATATAGTGTTCGCACGCAGCTGACTTTGTGGGAGACGGGATGGATGCTGAGGGAATTCAGGATGCTAGAGATATTAGTCACCTTCCTGTAAACTATCGTTTTGAGTTCCCCACCGTGTTTTCTGCATACCAGCATATCGAGGAGCGACAAATGGCAGTCTTTTTATTCCACAATCGTGAACTGGGTGTCGGGGAAGATCGAGTTCAGGTTCACTACACAACACTATTAACTCAACGATGTCAGACATCACGTTCACGCTCAAAAAGAAAGTTGAGGGTAAACTCCCATTTCTCGACGTCCTCGTACAGCGGAATACTGACAGAACACCCCAAGCATCAATTTACCGCAAAAATCACAAGCGGATGCATACTGCATTACGAGAGTTACCACCCTGTGGCTCACAAACGGAGTGCTGTCTCCACCCTAATCAATCGAGAAAGAACGCATTGTTCTAGCCCCGAACTCTACCAAGCCAACTTCAATTATCTGTTTACAATGTTTTAAAAAAAACGGTTACCCCAGAGAGTTCGTGCGTCGATGCATAAGTCTACAACAGTCAAAACAAAAAGAAAAGGGACGAAGTTGCTGGGACCAGACGCCCAATGAAAGAAGTTGGCAAACACTTCCTTATATTAAGAACGTGTCTGAACTCGCTGAAAGACACCTGAGGAAGTATCAAATCCAATTGGCGCATAAACCAACGAATACTCAGCGATATCTGCTTATACACCCTAAGGATAGGGTTGATTATTTGGATAGAAAAGTGGTCATAAATCAAATCCCTTGTATCGGCTGCGATCAAGTTTATTGCGGACAGACAGGACGATCAGCCTCCACACGCTTGCGCGAACATCAACGAGCGGTAGAAGGGCGATATCGCTTGTCCGAGGTCGCCATGCACACATTAGAAACTGGACACCAATTTGCATGGGGCGAAACTTGCATCGTTGGCTCTTGTCCAAACAAGAAAGACCGCAAGTTTTTCGAAGCTATCAACTCCGATGACTCGTGCATCAACAGGCACGTCGAATTGGATGCGATGTAAACCAACCTCATGGAATTCTGGAAGAGACGACAGCGGTTGACAATAAGTCACCGACCGACCAAATAATTACATGCGGGTGACAACTATTTTTTTCCCACTGATCGCACAATCACCTGCGGGTGACGATTATGGACTGTTAGATTACCCACTATATAAGCTTCGGTTAGCCATCCTTTTAAATAAAATGTTTCGTACAATTTCCATCCGTCTGACGACGACCTGGTGCACCAGCATCGAAAATTTACACAATAAACCGCTGTTTCTCAAAGAACTCCATCTACCGAATTATACTGCTTGGGATGCCGATTTTCCAGTTCATATGTACAAATAAAAGTGTTCAGCCAGATCATATTTATCGCTATTTCTTCGGGGTAGACTCTGCTCCTGACG